ACAGTGAGCGGGCCATCATCGTGCTTCAAACCCAATACTGCAAACAGGTCTGGGGTCAGCTAGCCAAGAAAGAGCAGAGGTTGGAAAAAAGATGTGCAAGACTTATAGGTGACGGTCTTCCCCGATTGTTGACAAAGGATGACTTCTATGAACTAGTCAGGCAGTATGAGGAGGAGCTCAGAGCAGCGGCAGCAGAAAAGGAGCAAAGGTCCAACGCACAGGATCTCTATCTTGCTGCCGTCAAGGCATGGAAAACATCCCAGGAGCTGCGGGCGCAACGGAATGTCCAAATCCATGCTGGTCATGTGGAGGAACAGGCTCAATGGACCGCAGAACACAACCTGGCAAGGGCAGAGAAAAGAGAACCACATTGGGATAAGCCTGGGACACTCCGGGACAGGCTTATTGCAGCAACGCCAAAGCTGAACAAGAAAGACTTCCTCGCAGCTATTCAGGCCGCGTCAAGGGACGACAGCTCGTCTGAGGATAGCGGCGAGGAGGAGGAGGACTGATCACGGCGGTGCATCTGATCTCAAGTCTCGATGAGATCAGATCAGATCCGCCATAGATAACACCGTTATCAGCTCTTATCGAGGTGTCTAATCTGATGGTGGATGCCCACTCCCACTGATACCAACCTTTTGCCTAATCACTCTCTTTCCATAGCGCTTCGTGTCTCTATAATTTTCTTATAATGTATTTAGAGCCTATAATCGACGTCTATCATGTTTTTGAGGCGAGGGGTGAGTGAGAAAATATTCAGTGGACGACGGAAATTGTGCCGTCTAATTTGACGGTTGATAACTGTACCTCAAGGACCTCAACATACTCCTGGAGTTTCCACCGGGGTGCACGGTCTTCTTACCCTCGGTCATAATCGCCCACGGCAATATGCCCGTCCAACCCCACGAAGTACGCCAGTCCTTTACCCAGTATTGTCCCAGAGGTCTTGCCTGGTGGCGTGACTTCGGGTACCAGTTGCAGGTAAACTCATTGCATGGCAACAGTGGTCGGTTGGCGGCGAGGATCGCTACAGCGAGTGCAGAGCGTGTACGTGCCGCACTTGCCCTTATTCTAAGGCTGGTGTCGCGCGATTAGCGACACAATAGGGGGGCATTTGGATCAACATGATATATCATCTATCATTGTGGTGGATGCTTTTGTACTCAGGCTAGAACCACGCGCGTGAATACACTGTTTTTTTGTCGGGCTCACTAGTCATACGGTTGGGCGGAAGTGATGAAGATATTATTCCAAGGGTGCAAACAAAGTAGGATATGCAGCGATGGTGGTAGCGAAGGGTGCAAACTCATGAACGTCGATCTGAACCCTCTCGCACCGCATAGAAGGTGACACGGGATGTGACCCCTCAATCCTTAACCGGTGTCTCGATGAGAGGTTGCACGGGAATGTTGTGCATGTTCTGTGCAGGAGGATGGGATGCAGCAACGGTGAGTGATTAACAACGTGATGGGCAGAATACGCTCACTTGACTCCACAAGAACCGCAGGGCAGAAACGAAATGGTCGCAATGTTCACTACTGGGGGGGTAGAACCTGTTGAACGTGACCGCCAAGTTGCGGTGCAGGCGTTCGACGTAACCAGTTGTGAGCAGGAGGCGGGGCTGCACAAGTGACTCCCAGTGAAGCATGTGGAGATCATACTCCGCCTGCCAAAAGCACATTAACGCAGTCCCAGGAGGAAGGTAGACGAGGTGATAGGGATGGACGTACAATTGTGGCAATATATAAGAATGCACCCGAGATGTCAACGGTGTTGTTTCCAAAGTAGTTCACCCAGAACCAAGGCTGTTGGCCAATGGTGTTCGTGTTCTGAAGGAAGTAGTGGCGATAGAGTGCTCGCACGAAGAATGAGTCGAAGCGATGCCAGAGCTGCCACCATAGAGCCAAAAATAGTCTGATAAGCACACATGCCACTGATTGTGATGTGAGCGTGGGTACGTACCCCCAGATGAACATGTGCATGGTCCTCTAGCAGGGCAAGGATTCAGGGCCTATCAATCCGCCACTGCCTGTTCTCAAGGACGTACACACGTAGCAGAAAGGTGGGAGGACCGTTGGCCCATTAAAGATGACCGTTCTGAAGGGGGTTGCAAAGCTTGGCCACCATGTTACGTGTTGTTCGAAGGGTGCTTTGAAGGATTGTGTGAATCTGCAAGATGGTGAGATGGCAAGTCGGGGGTAAGCCGGAAGGTAAAGAGCCGGCTACGAACCCAGTTCTTGAATCCATCGATCCAAACAGTTTGACCGTGCTGCCGGCACTATTCGAGATGACCTATGACATTGGTGCACGGTTATCAGTCAATGCTGTATCATCATCAATCACGACATAGATACATACAAGCGAGAGAGATATCGTCTTGATGAACAATGGGTATGGGAGGGCAGTGATTGACGATGGTGTCGAGAAACACGATCCAGGTTTCGAGGTCCCAGGGGATGCCAACAGTGCATATGGTGTAGCGGATGAGTTGAAGGATGAAGATGCGTGCTGAGGCCAAGCCGATGCACAGAGTCCAGAGTTCTGCACCATGACAACGAGGATGATGAGTTCATAGCGTGACCAGAATTCAAACGACAGTACTCACCGCGCATTGCCAACTGCTTGATAGTGAAGTTCTGTACCGGTCGAAGCTCCGACGGGATATTCATCAAGCCCAGCTGAGCAGTGAGATTGTTCTCGTCCGAAGTGTCTGCTCGTGAATGGTCAGTCGACGGGAAGAAGGCACAAAGGGGGGGAGAGGGGGGGGCACTAACCTGACGAAACGTCAGAGTGAGTGTTGCTGCCACTGTCGGACATGGCTGCGGTGTTGCTGTAGAAGTGTTGCGAGATATTGGACGGTAGGATAATGACAAGCTCAACCGAGTCAGGAGAGCCTGAGAGTACTGGTCTCCTGGCGTGTGGGCTTTTATACTCGGAGCCCAGAGTATGCTGACTCACATGCCTTTGAAGTCCGTGCGTGCCGTGAGGCCTGTGCTGGATGAGTAAAGAATTGGGGTGCCAGGAAGACATGAGGAGGAGGGAGGGAAGGTACTGGTCGTAAGGGTTCAGAAGTGCGAACACGACGCAAGGAGAGGGTGTGCGTACCACGGGATCCAGCGCCCTTTGTTCCCATCCCGGCCATCTGTGTAATATTCTGGCATTGCCTTGTGGCCGACAAAGCAGAGATCTCTCCGAGTGTGTTTCCGTCGAATGAGAACAGCTGCATAGTGTGCGTCTGGTGAATGAGGAGATATGGTTGTATGATGTCAATCAGCTCTGAGAGGAAGTAGAAGCTGGAAACTCACATGGTATGGAGTGATTGCACGACCAATACACCTGGATTGCACCACTGATAGGGCTGGGCATTGGAAATTGATAATGTGCTGGACGGGAGCGAACGCGCATTGCATCCTCAGGCTGAATGGTGTGAACGTGCATGCTCGGTCAACCTGCGGACCACAGTCAGATGTTATCGCTCAGGAAATCGCAGTCGAGCTTACAAGGGGACAAGCGGGTACACGGTAATGTCCTCAGCCTATACAGATCACCAGCAAGGGGGGAGACGTCAAAACAGATGTATTGGCGGGGATGGTCCAGGATATGGTGCGGCGGCCAACGGTGAGCATCATGCTTTCTGGCACGACAAACCCTGCAAGTTCGAAGGCCCACCTTTTAGGTGATTCCCTAAAGAACACATGAGAGAAAAGAACAGATGAGCATAGATATGGTGGTCTTACCGCGTCCAATGCGGCTGGTTCAATGTTGCACAGTTACTTTCAAAACGCTGCTGCTGCGGACTTCAACTGAGTGATAAAAACAAAGGACATGTTTTTCGGCGGAGTCCGAGATGTCACATGGCAAAGACTCTCAAGGGCAAATATTCCCAAATATTTGTGGGTGATATGTAGGTTGCGTGCTGCGAATTATTTTTCTTTTGCCCTGCCCACCTCCGACCAAACCCAGAGTATCCCCTCAGCGTCTCTTGAAACGCCTTCACTTCTTTTTCTTCAGCACACAATCTATTCTATCCCCATGTCTTCCAACCTTGCTATCCCCCGCTGCCAGGAAGTTTGTGCCATTGGCTTGGACCACCCCGACCGCGTGTATATCACCACTTCCCTTTGTGTTGGCCACCAGTATCGCAAGGTTGAGTACACCGAGGCCAAAGTGGATGTCACCGACACGTTCGACAAGTATTAGACTGCCGTGCGCAAGCTCGCTGATGTCCAAGATTCCTACGCTCTCGCCAAGAAGTCCTACACGGTCTTATCCGACTCCACCAGCAACCGCTCAACGAGCTCGGCCTCCAGCGACGAGCCCATTGGCGATGCCACCCTCTCGTGCGTGCAGATTAAATTCATCTGTGCCAAGCAGGTGGAGCTTGTTCGGCGTTTGTGGGTTGACTTCAGCAAGGAGAACCTCCTCGAGGACGACGACGAGTAGGCGGCTTTGTGGCTCTGTTATTGTAGAAAGTGGCTCAACGGTATCTTCCTCTCCACGACGTGCTCACTGCCTTTGTAACTTCATCCACCCTTGCTCATTTATCCCCCTTCCTTTATGAGCCCACCCACCCCATCCCTAGCCTTCCGCAACCGCCCAGACTTGTCTGTACTCATGTATACTTCTCGCTATTCACATTGCTTTCATGATATTATCCCATCTTTATGCCCCCCTTTCCTTCCAGTTTCTCTTACGACCTTCAATTATGCCCTTCCTACACTGTT